AAGACTCTCACCGAGGAGCCCAGCGCCACCAGGACAAAGCCGGAGTCACCAAACTTGGCAATGAAATCCTCAAATTCCTGGAGAGAGGGAAGTAAGGAAAGGAGAGGAACAAAGTGGTTCATAAAAGCCTACACAGCCATGCAGTGGAAGCCAGATATTAACTGAACAACCCCCCTGCCATTCTGGAGCTTGCTGTCCTGAAACTGCTCTCATGGCCTCTGCGACTCACAGCTCATAGCTCAGTTTCTTCTGCATTCTTCTCACACCCATTCTATTGATAGGAACATCTTTCTACTTTGGAACCCTTACGATGGTGTCAGGGCCATCTAGAGCCTCTACTCATATTAGGTCCATGGAGGCATGGTCACGTGGGATTCTCCAAGACCTCTAGAGGTGGTAGTAAAAGGAAGAAAAGCAGTGAAGTCAGAATCCCCCAGAGGTAGGTGGCATGTCGGAGGCTGGAGTGGAAAAGCTGGGAGAACGTGTTTGGCATAAGAAGAAGGGTGGCAGGGACAGAAGAGGACAGGCAACCAGCTATGCACACACAGTGTGCCATGAAGCACGTTTTGTCCCAATATACTAAGATATTCTCAGTCATTGATCTTTCTGGTTCACTTTCTACCTCAGTGGTTCCCCACATGTCTGCAACTTATATCCACAAGGGAAGAATTTTTAAAGTGCCAATGCCCAAAGCCAACACCTGTTCTGGGCAGATTGGTTTTTATGCCCCTAGGCAGTTCAGCAGAACGTGCTGACCGAACATTGAAATCTTGCCTTTAACCCAGTTCTGTCAATTGTTGCTTCAAGTGTTTCTCCAGAGCCTGACTGTCCCTGGACTTCCAAGGCCCTCTGCCTGCTCCTAGACCCTCACTGTTGGGTTGAGTCCATCTAGCATAACATTGCCTGATTCACCATGTGTAAAGACCACTTCCACAGCAGCCTTGTCATCCCTTTATGATTACAAAAGCACCAAAGACCACTACATAAAAACTGAAAAATACAGAGTTGAAAAGTTTTTGAAAAAAGCCTTTGCTACCTCACCAACAATTCCCTCCCGCTGGCCCATGGCCAAGGCCTGACTTGCTCTCCTGTAAGGGAAGGCACTTTGCAATCTGGCCTGGCTATGTTGGTGCAATTGAAACTTCTGCTCTTGTCTAGCCAGAGTCACCCAGGAAACCCAGAGTTATTCCTGGTTTATCTTTTCCTCAACACTAGGGATAACCTGTTCTTCCCAACCGGAACACCTTCCCTCCAAGCCCTATCCCTAAAAAGTTCTTCTACCCACTCGGGCCCATCTAGCCCATGGATCATCCCCCAGCTCTCCATGCTTTCCCCACACTAGGTCAGTAGGACGAGGGTGACACTTCAGTGCCTGGAAGGCCCAGTCCCGACAGGGAGGCTCCCTTGCTCTGAAACGAATGCTAGTGGGAAAGTGACCTTTATCACCTGAGCCTTTGTCCCTCATTTAGAAAACAAAGTTCATCACACTTCCCCGCCCACTGGCAAGGTATTATTTAGATAAGTTCCATATAATGGCAACCCTCTGCTGACAGATAACAGTCGGCCAACTCACCTTACTTTCCCTCTATTTTGAAAACCTTAAGAGCAGTGGTGCTGAGTCTGGGCTCTGCATTCCAACCAACAGGGTATCTTTTACAACTCCAATGCCGAGGCCTGACCCCAGAACCACCAAACCAGGGACTGGGTGGAGTTAAGAACCAGGCCAGGGGGCCTGGAAACAGTGCCTGCGGTTCTTACTGTCAGTCCCACGCAGTCCCGCCTTGGCCACCCTCGTCTCATGGTGCTGTGGGTTTCATTGTGAGTAACTCTTCTCCTTGACAATCCTTGTATGTGACAGACGCTTATTATATACCTACTGTAATATGATCGTATGAAAACATCAACTTATTAAAGGACTATCCCACCAGAGCCAAGGCAAGTGTGAGTCAGGAGAGGACCCAGGGTGCTACATTTAAGGAGGTGTTCAAACCCAGGGTTGTGCAAGTCCTATCAACATACCTGTATGACCCTGAAAGTGAGTCCTTCCTTCAAGAGGGTGACCTAAGCACCTCATTTGCCTCCCCCTGCTTCACTCCCAGGACCCATAGGCAGGCCACCAGCTCTGCACTGAAGGGCTCTGCATGACGTCCACATTGCATACTAAGGTGTACTTACTGGTGGTACTGGTTTAACAGGTTTGGACATTAAGCCTCCGACATACACAGTGTTGGGAAGCAGGGGCTGAGCAAATTCAAAGGCAAAGTCAGAGTTAACAAACCACAGCTCTGCTTTCTTCAGAAGATGAGACACAACTGGCCTAGAGCCTTCAGGAAAATGCTCCTTGATGGTGTTGTCAAACGTAGAGTACATTTGCCATTTTTTCTTGGAGAAATCTAAGAACATCAGAAAATTCTTTACTCGACCCCAGAAGCCCATGTGGTCAGTTAGCATGGAGAAGAGTACCGGCACATAAGACAGGGGGCTCGGTAATCCAAACATCTCAAAGCCAAAAGAGGAGGGGAGAATGGACACAAACGGCTTTCCAAGTTTCTCAGCAACCAAGTAAGGACAGTACTCAAAATTTTCAACTATCACCAGGTCGAAGTTCTCATTCTTCAAGACATCCATGATATCCGTTCTCCTTAGGAAATGACTGCACTGAAGCCCCAATTGTTCCATAAGTTTTAATAAGTGTTCAAATAGAAATCTATAAGAAAGAAAATAAATGATTGATAATCATTGGATGTGTTAATTTCACAGTACATTTTTCAAAATCTTTAGCTACCCAAATTTATCCCAAGTAAACAAGAATATACCTAGCAGCAGCTCACCTACTAGATCAGAAATACCCTCATTGTCTATATATACATTCATTCAGCCACTCTGCACAGATGCTCTGCTCTTTAAAGTGCCCCCTTCCTCCTTCCTCTTTCCTCTCTGATCTGATTCCCCATCATCCTCTATTCCACTTCAAATACATTATTGAACACTAAATTTTCAAAATCTAAGGGCACAGTTGAATTACATTCCCTGAAAACGAATTGTCACTGCTGGGCCTTCTGCTCTGGCAGCCATCTCTGACCATCGCAGACCTTACAGACCTCTTTCACTTTGATAAATTCTGTGATGTCCTTGTGATCATGCATTTATATACTGACTTGTTATGAGAGATTTCCTTGTTTATTCAGCCAAACTGTAGAAGTCATTGATGACACAGTCCAAAAAATATTGCTGATATAGGCCATATTTTAAAATCATTGTGACTGATCCCCTCACCCAAGGGACTCTTTCATCATATTAGCACTCAAAAAGCAACCTAAAATGGGAATTCCACTTTTCTATGCCCACAGGATAAACAATGAAGGGAAAAAGAAGCCTGCTTTTGAAACATACGGTAAGCCTGTCCACTTCAAAACAGGCTGAGGGACCAGAGAACCCAGTGGCAAAGCCTATGGACACGTAAATGAGAGTTTGCCTGTGGGGCTATTCCAGGGCGTTATCCTCTTGCAGTGCTTTCCTATCACTGCCTGTGTAAAATGTGACCATGTTTACTGTTTGTACAACATATGGGGACGTGGATGAGGATACCCGTGCATCTGAAGGTAACAGAGGTAACAGGAGCAAAGGCTCAGGACCTCAGGGGCCTGGCAGCTGCATGGACAAATGAGATAATGAACAACACCCAGGCACCCCTCTGATTGCACACCACGGCACCTTCACACCCCACCCAGACAGAGGAGGCACAGAACTGAGAATTCACTAGGACTGTGCAGGTATCTCCTCGATCTTTAGGACCAACTTCAAGTCACACAATGGAAATGATTGGCTGAAATTATCCTCTGTTGGGTATTTTTAAAGATTACACAGAACAAAGAAGGGGTTGTTAAATATTTTGGATACTTTCAGTTAATACTATAAAAGGTCCTAAAATATGGTTAATTATTGCTAGGTGAAATTGCCTAATAAACAGAAAAAACTTTCAGGAACGCATGGTTCCCTTTACCTTCCTTCCAACATATTAAATTGAGGGAGAATAGACAAAGTCTGTAATTAAAATACAGAACTAAAGAACAAGATGATATAGAATTAGTGTCACACGAGTAGGTGAGGTTAGAGCTATACAGGAAGGACCGAGGTATTCCAGTTTGAGTGAGGAAAAGGGGTTTTCTGGAAAAAGTCAGATTTGAACAGGGTCAGGACTAGTAAGTAGAATTTTCCCAGAATCTTCAAAAATTGTGAGAGAAGAGTTATGAGGAAGTTCCAGAAGGAAGTACGTCCACTTTCTACAGAAATACATTCATGCTTGCTGAAGAAAAGGGACAGTACAGAGCAGGGTAGAATCTCCAGTGGATGATTTGGTGTGAAATTCCTATTTTGCCAGCCACCAACTCATCCCTATGCCTCCTTCCCTCCCTCCAGCCAGCCAGCCATCCAACCCTTTCTCATATCCTTAGTCCCAGCATCCATGCCTGTACCCATTCATTTGTACCACTGAAATAGTGACTCTTTGCTTCAAACAATAAGAATACATTACCTGCCTTCCAAAGCTTCATCCATAAAAAATTCAAACATCTCCTTAAGTCCTTTGTTAAAATCTTCAGGTGGAAGCCAAGGGATAACTTGATATGATTTTTCTGTCTCTTTAAAATCTAAGAACATAACAAAGGGTTAAAACTTAAATATGTACAAAACATCAAGTATCATCAGCATCATATCAACATATATTTGATCCAATATATATTTAATTGACTATTTACCTTATGATATATTTTTGTCTGGTCTTTGGATATGTTCTCAGTCTCCCAAAATTCTAAACTGAACTTATTTATTGAGAACCCTATAATAATTCAGAAATATTTTCAACTTAAAGTTATGGAAGATACCATTTAAAACTTTCATTGAAGGTATATGTACTTGTCTCATGTCACAGGGGGAACAAATTATTGAGTTTAAGATAATTTCTCAAGTTGTCCACATAAGAAGTGGTAGAGTTTGCATTTAAATGCAACCATGTTGATTCCAGAGCCTCTCTTCTTTCTGTTACAGAAAAACTCATTTTCATTATGTAAAGTGATACACCCAATAGTTCCTTGTTCAGCAAAAAGAACCAGAAGGCTAAATTTAAAGAGTTGTCCTCTGCACCTCTACTTACCAGCATGGATTCTCCCCTACTATTTCTCCCCTAAAATGTCTGAGTGCATTTCTGATGTCTGTCTGCTGATAGGTTTCAAGCACTATCTCCCACTCCCTCATCTTGGCAAAGTGGGAAAAAGTCTTCATGCTCCTTCATTCATTTCTAGTGATATTTGCAAACCACGCAATTCAGGCCAAGGAGAGGGAACCATCGCAACCCCTACCCACAGCAAAACTCAAGCTAGTCAGCCCTCTTTGCTCTGGATAGCCATTTTTCAGATTTGCTTGGGAGCCTGTCCTGCTCTTCCAAATGAGCCTTATTAATTGAGAAATAGACATTGCTTTTCTCTTCATGCATGTGTACCCTCATCAGTTATAACTTACAACCTAAGGGTGTGTAAGGACTGAGGGTAAACTAATGCTCCCATAGATTAAAGCTCCAATGCCTGGTCATAGTGAAATTACTGACTCTATCCAAGTACCTCCTGGCGAACACTTTGCAGTCACACATCTGGCTAATACATTCTGTTCTGAGCCTATTTCAAAAGGATCTTAACCACAGTTTGCCCCAGCTAGGAAGTGACACAATACACCTCTCATCAGCTTCCCAAGAGGTACTTCAACAGCCCTACCACTAGCCACAGTCTTTTTCAGCAACATCTTAATCACATCCAACTTTCACCAGGAGCACAGGTAAGACATTCCCTTGAGGACACCCTCCTCAAAGGACATTCACTTAACACACACATTCAGGGCACAGAAACACAAATAAAGGACCTCACACATGGATGTGCCATTTTACCACACAAAGCTTGAATCTCAGGACCTCAGTTAAATTCCCCAGAATTATTTGGTCAGTTTAAGGCCTCCCTATCCATGGCATTGTCAAGAAACAACTATTGAATCATGACACCACAACATCTCAACTGGTCCATCACCTCTCAGGCCATATTGCAATCTGTAGGCAACATATATTTCATTTATCTGTTACATTTATGCTTTATTACGTGGAAAACAGCCCGCTTTGAATAAGGTACCCAGCAAAAAAAAAACTCTAAAATGTATCCAAATCGCAGTACAGTAGGCACTGTGATTAGTGTCTCCCAAACATTCAAATACATTATTGAACACTAAATTTTCAAAATCTAAGGGCACAGTTGAATTACATTCCCTGAAAACGAATTGTCACTGCTGGGCCTTCTGCTCTGGCAGCCATCTCTGACCATCGCAGACCTTACAGACCTCTTTCACTTTGATAAATTCTGTGATGTCCTTGTGATCATGCATTTATATACTGACTTGTTATGAGAGATTTCCTTGTTTATTCAGCCAAACTGTAGAAGTCATTGATGACACAGTCCAAAAAATATTGCTGATATAGGCCATATTTTAAAATCATTGTGACTGATCCCCTCACCCAAGGGACTCTTTCATCATATTAGCACTCAAAAAGCAACCTAAAATGGGAATTCCACTTTTCTATGCCCACAGGATAAACAATGAAGGGAAAAAGAAGCCTGCTTTTGAAACATACGGTAAGCCTGTCCACTTCAAAACAGGCTGAGGGACCAGAGAACCCAGTGGCAAAGCCTATGGACACGTAAATGAGAGTTTGCCTGTGGGGCTATTCCAGGGCGTTATCCTCTTGCAGTGCTTTCCTATCACTGCCTGTGTAAAATGTGACCATGTTTACTGTTTGTACAACATATGGGGACGTGGATGAGGATACCCGTGCATCTGAAGGTAACAGAGGTAACAGGAGCAAAGGCTCAGGACCTCAGGGGCCTGGCAGCTGCATGGACAAATGAGATAATGAACAACACCCAGCCACCCCTCTGATTGCACACCACAGCACCTTCACACCCCACCCAGACAGAGGAGGCACAGAACTGAGAATTCACTAGGACTGTGCAGGTATCTCCTCGATCTTTAGGACCAACTTCAAGTCACAAAATGGAAATGATTGGCTGAAATCATCCTTTGTTGGGCATTTTTAAAGATTATACAGAATAAAGGGGGGGTTGTTAACTATTTTGGATACTTTCAGTTAATACTGTAAAAGTCCTTAAAATACGGTTAATTATTCCAAGGTGAAATTGCCTAATAAACAGAAAAATCTTTCAAGAATGCATGGTTCCCTTTACCTTCCTTCCAACATATTAAATTGAGGGAGAATAGACAAAGTCTGTAATTAAAATACAGAACTAAAGAACAAGATGATATAGAATTAGTGTCACACGAGTAGGTGAGGTTAGAGCTATACAGGAAGGACCGAGGTATTCCAGTTTGAGTGAGGAAAAGGGGTTTTCTGGAAAAAGTCAGATTTGAACAGGGTCAGGACTAGTAAGTAGAATTTTCCCAGAATCTTCAAAAATTGTGAGAGAAGAGTTATGAGGAAGTTCCAGAAGGAAGTACGTCCACTTTCTACAGAAATACATTCATGCTTGCTGAAGAAAAGGGACAGTACAGAGCAGGGTAGAATCTCCAGTGGATGATTTGGTGTGAAATTCCTATTTTGCCAGCCACCAACTCATCCCTATGCCTCCTTCCCTCCCTCCAGCCAGCCAGCCATCCAACCCTTTCTCATATCCTTAGTCCCAGCATCCATGCCTGTACCCATTCATTTGTACCACTGAAATAGTGACTCTTTGCTTCAAACAATAAGAATACATTACCTGCCTTCCAAAGCTTCATCCATGTGAAATTTAAAAACCTCCTTAAGTCCTTTGTTAAAATCTTCAGGTGGAAGCCAAGAGATAACTTGGTATGATTTTTTCATCTCTTTAAAATCTAATAAGATAACAAAGGGTTAAAACTTAAATATGTACAAAACATCAGGTAACATCAGCATCATGATATCAACATGTTTTGGATACAGTACATATTTACTTGAATATTTGCCTTAGGAAATATTTTTGTCTTGTTTGGGTACTTTCTCAGTCACCCAAAATTCTAAACTGAACTTATTTATTGAGAACCCTATAATAATTCAGAAATATTTCCAACTTAGAGTTATGGAAGTTCCATTTAAAACTTTCATTGAAGTTATATGTACTTGTCTCATTTCACAGGGGGGAAAAAGTTCACTGAGTTTAAGATAATTTGCCAAAGTTGCACACACAGAAAGTGGTAGTTTGCATTTAAATACAACCACGTTTGATTCCAGAGCCTCTGGTCTTTCTATTACAGAAAAATTCATGTTCATTATGTAAAGTGATACACCCAAATAATTTTTATTCAGCAAAAAGTACTAGAAGGTTAAATTTAAAGAGTAGTCCTCTGCAGCTCCACTTACCAGCATGGATTCTCCCCCACTATTTCTCCCAAAAACGTCTGAGTGCATTTCTGATGTCTGTCTGCTGATAGGTTTCAAACACTATCTCCCACTCCCTCATCTCAGCAAAGTGGGGAAAAAGTCTTCTTTCTCCCTCATTTGTTTCTAGTGGGAGTTTCAAACCATGCAATTCAGGCCAAGGAGAGGGAGCCATCCCAACCCCTACCCACAGCAAAACTCAAGCTAGTCACCCCTCAGTGCTCTGGAAAGCCATTTATCAGGTTTGCTTGGGAGCCTGTCCTGCTCTTACAAAAAAGCCTTATTAATTGAGTAATAAACATTGCTTTTCTCTTCATGCATGTGCACCCTCATCAGATATAACTTCCAGGCTAAGAATGTGTAAGGACTGATGGTAAACTAATGGTCCCATACATTAAAGTGCCATGCCTGGTCATAGGGAAATTACTGAGTCTATCCAAGTATCTCCTGGCAAACATTTTGCAGTCATGCACCTAGCTAATACATTCTGTTCTGAGCCTATTTCAACAGGATCTTAACCACAGTTTGCCCAAACTTGGAAGTGACACAATACGCCTCTCACCAACTGCCCAAGGCATACTTCAACAGCCATCCCACTGACCACAGTCCTTTTCAGCAACACCTTAACCACATCCAACTTTCACAAAGAGCACAGGTAAGACATTCCCTTGAGGACACCCTCCTCAAAGGACATTCACTTGACACACACATTCAGGGCACAGAAACACAAATAAAGAGGTCACACAGGGATGTTCAATTTTTCCACACAAAGCTTGAATCTCAGGACCTCAGTTAAATTCCTGAGAATTATTTGCTCAGTATAAGGCCTCCCTATCCATGGCATTGTCAAGAAACAACTATTGAATCATGACACCACAACATCTCAACTGGTCCATCATCTTTCAGGTTGTTTTACAATCTGCAGGCAACATATTTTTCATTTATGTCTTTCCCTTAAGTCCATTTATGCTTTATTAGCTGGAAATCAGCCCACTTTGGGTAAGGTAAACAGCAACAAAAATCTCTACAATCTGTCCAAATCGCAGTACAGTAGGCACTGTGATTAGTGTGCCCCAAACTTGCCTTCATATAGAGGCTTGGGCAACATCCCTACAAGACAAGGTACTCTGTTGACGACCTATGATGGTGGTATCAGTGTCCTCCTGCTGCTCTAACAAACTGCTAGAAACTTAGTGGCTTAAACCAACACATTTCTATCTTACAGCTCTGGAGGACAGAAGTCCAACACAGGACTCCCAGGATAAAAGCAAGGTGCAGGCATGCACGCCAGCATTCCTTCTGCAGGCTCTATAGGGCAGTCACTTTCTTGCTCCTTCCATTACTTAGCAGCGGCCTTCAAACCTTGGCTCGTGCCTTCCTCCAACTGGCAATCCCATGACAGGTTTTTCCTTCCAACATCACACTTCCTTCTATTCTCTCCTATCAACTTTCTTTTAGAAGGACACTTGGAACTACACTGGCCCACCTGGAAAATCCAGGACAATCTTTCCTTATGAAGATTTTTATTTTAATCACATCTGCAAAATCCTTTTGCCATGCAAGGTAGCTTATTCACTGGCTTTAAAGATTGGGATGTGGATTTCTTTGGGAAGATGTTATCTTCCTACCATGTCCTGCTCTCTGGACCTCACATACTCATTTCATTCCACAGCAAAAGACATTTACCGCATCCCAATATTTGTGACAGAAGTCACAAAGTACCACACCATCAATTCAATTTCATTCTAAATCTCATCTAAAAGTCACCAGCTCTAAAATTCCAAGTTATATTATCCAAATAATTGAATCAATTATGGGTGAGAGTCTTGGTATTATCCATCCAGAGGTAAAATATCTGTCCAACTGTGGACCAGTGAAATGAGGAAACAAGATCTGCTCCTAAGAAACCATAGTGGGACAGGTATAAGATACCACTTACAGCTATGATCATACAAAATAGAAGGGAATAATGAGACTGGCCCTATGAACTTTAATGTCATAAAAACAATAGTACATTTTAAGGACTGGAAATAACCAACCGAGATCTGAAGCTCAGCCATGTGAGTTTAAAGCTCTGCACTCTGGGCTCATTGCTATACCCCCAGGGTTGTCCTGTCTTTCATGAGTTTTCACCTGAATAATTTATCAACCCGTTTCTAACTTTGGGGGTGTTAATGGCCTTGTTTCTTGTCATTCTTTCTTTGTCCCTTTAGTCCAAACTGACAAGTTTTTCTTTGGCATAAAATTCTCAAGTGCCTTGCAGATCTGCTGGGTATGTCGTGGGAATCCACTCAACAAGACAAGGGACTGCTCCACAGATCTTTAAAAGGTAATCTCTCCCCCAGTTTTGGCTTCTGCTAATGTGGTGGAAGGGATCCATAATTGACAGACCTGATCTTCAAGGAGCTCCCAGTGAAGCTGGATATTCTGACCTCTTGATCCTTCAGGGGCAATAGGAATAGCTATCCCAGCCACACCACTGGTTTTCTCTACCAGACAAAACGATTCTCTGCTTTCCTGACAGTGAATCTCCCAACTTTAGAATCTTTTGCAGTTTGGGTAGGCTGAGAATGCTCAAAATCATGGAGTCCTGTCTTTTAATGCTTAGTGGTTCTCCTTTCAATTTATTTCTTTTCTGTCATATTTTACTATAACCAGCAAGAAGATTTTATCATCTGTATTTCCAGCAAAAGTCCAGGCATATAGTCTAAGACAGTATAGATTTCTCTGCCATATTCCTCACCTCCTTCTTAATCCTCATGAGGTAAGCTCTCAACATCTGTATTTTTATAACAGTCTGTACAAGGCCATCTGGGGTTTTTAAATTTTTTATCACACTTCTCAGTATTCTTTCAGATCCTACCTGTAACTACATTGTGATTCCAGATATTGGGTGGTATAGGTATACTAGTAAAGATTAGAGATCTTTGCTTCTTCAGTGCCTCTGATGGCATTTATTCATTAAATAAATTAAATTAATTTTTAATGATAGAAAATAATACATTACATTTATTCACCACAAACTGTAAAGAGATAAATAAGTTGGGGAAGTGTGTCCAAACAAGGTGTTAATTAGTGGTTCAAATGTTACAGTATACTGGAATCAGCATCAGGTCAAGAAGAATTATCCATGGGTCATGTGTTTCCCTTATTTGTAAATATCTAGCTAAAATCTACTCTTGAAGTGAATGAATATGCTCTTTTAAAGCCTCATAAAGTCTTATACTGTGAAATATTGAAAGAAACTCTATACTTTAAAACCTGTAACCCAAGTATAAAACTGAAAGGATTCATGAATTCCTCAATTGATTAAAAGGTTTGCTGTATTTATGCTATATTTGTTAAAGTACAAATGCTTATAGAAGGTCTGTAGCCTTAAGTAGTTTCTCAAAGTTCAGAGTATTACCAAGATTTTTTTAATCTAAAATTTTACTTTAACTTAATGTAATTTAAGTATTAATTATATTTAGTAACATTTTCTAAAATTAAAACACTCATTTAAAAATCAATGCTTTATAGCTATTTAATCGATCTGCAGTTAAGGCAAATGCAAAAGGATATATATACATGATTGTCAGTAGAGAATACAGAATCTAATGTAGAAGGTGATTTAAATGGTTTTAAGTAGGGACTTAGATTAATATTTGTACACCAGTGTTCACAGCAGCATTATTCACAATATCCAAAAGGTAGAAAAAATCCATGTTGATGTTTGGAAGATGAATGGATGAATGCATAAGCGTCTGGTACATACATACAATGGAATAATATTCAGCCCTGTAAAGGAAGGAAATACTGATCCATGCTATAACGTGGTGAGCCTTTAAGACATCATGTTATGTGAAATAAGGTAGTCATAAAAGGACAAACATTGCATGATTCCACTCACATGAAATATCTGAAACAGTCAAATTATTAGAGAAATAAAGAGGAATACTTGTTCCTGGGGCTAGGAGTGGATGGTAATAGTCACACTGATAGAGCTTTAGTTTGTGATGACGAAAACATTCTGGAGATGGATGGTGATGATGGTTACAGAACAATGTGAATGTAGATAAAGTCACTAACTATGCACAGAAATGGATCAAGTGGCCAATTTTATGTTGTGTATATCTTACCACAATTAAAACATAAAACATTTTCCTAGAAGAAAGTTGTTAAAATAATCTGCACAGTAATCTGAAGTCATCGTCAAAGCTTCATAACTTCTCAGATTTTGTTTTTCAAAGACACTGCTTAGTATTGATTTCTTTTTTAAATCAAAGCTTGAGCAATACTTCACACTGAGAAATCCAGAGTTTAAAGTCCTAAATCCACACAATGTTCTTATCAATCTATTCAGTGACTTTGCACAAATCATTGATGTTCTCTGTGCTGCTGTTTCCTTGCCGGTCAGGAGAGGAGTTGATAAGATTTACTTGCTAAATAAATTTAACTTAAACTTTACCTAAAACTATTTGGATTCAATGACTCAACTAAGAGCATCTAACAACAGTATGGATAAACTTGTGGGCAACTACTGACTTTTCAAGAAAACAAGTTCATCTCAATAGATGCTGAATCTTAGCTGCATAAATAAGAGAATCTCTCAAAAATCTTCCTTAAATTGTAGGTAACATAAAGAGGAGAATGTAATCTATGATACTGAAAAAGAAAAGTGATCCTCACCTATAAGAAATCTTGCATAACAGGATGAACACTCCTGTTCCACACATTTTGAAGCTATGATATAAAGTAGTAGCTGCCAAAATAGCAAATAATGTACGGAAGGTTCCTTGGTTCTGAGCAGAGGCCCAGCTAAGAGCAGGAGACAAGGGACCACGGTGGGGAATGCAGTCAACAGGGCCAAGGTCCCATCGCCTCACAGGAACACACACAGAGATACACACATCCATTTATATCTTTCAATCCAATTTTATCTAAAAAACATTTTGCTGGGCCCTGCTGTGTGAAAGGTGGTGTCCTTTGCCTGGACTAGAAGATATCATCAAGCAGTGGGAAAACATACCCTGTATCAGGGAGTTTCCTCCCTGGAGAAGCATGGTGACATTATGGCCATGAGCTTGAAGGATCTCAGACACCTGGTTCATCAGCAGATAATGGCTTCCACCTAAGAACAATGCACAGTTTCATTTCTGTAATGATGAGAACAGAGGGTCTGAGATGATGGGCTGGTAGATCAGGGGTGGAAAGGCAGGAAACAGAAAGTTGATGTTGAGGGGAGGAGGATGAGCTTCACAGAGCCCGCCGGCCCAAGTCCTGGGCCTCTGGCAATTCTCCATTAAATGCCCTTTGTAACTCTCCATGTCAGTGTGATGAGCTTCTCTGTGTTTAGGTCTGAGGAGTTCCTGATGCTAACGTACATAGTGTGTGTTAGCCAGGCCTTACGGAGACACCATGTCCTAAATCTGAGTGCCCTGGTGGACATTGTGGCACAGTGCTACGCATGTGAGCGGGAAGGGTCCTAATGGAAAATCAATCACAGCTTTTTCTTGGATCCTTGTCTTTGAAATTTATGATGGTGCAGCAGTCAAAGACATGGGAACTTGAATAGAGTCCAAGAAACAGCTTTTCGAGTAGAAGGAGGAAGAGCCACCACACGGTGACAAAATCCTGCAGATACGAATATATTTGGCAGCACGTTCCTCAGTTGGGGCCTAAATTTGGCAGAACATCAAATTAAGTCATTCAGGATAACCACAGGGCCCAGAAGGTGGGCCATCAGGATCCTGTATGCATGAGAGACTGAGACATCACCTGTCCTAGCACAATCCTGGGACTCTAAGAGAGAAGGTTTGATCTCCAGGGTAAGTACAAGTTCCAACTCACCAAAATCCTCTCTTAGACTCAGTTCCAATATGGGGCCTTTGCTTGAATCTAAGGGTCTCAGCAGCAGAGAAAGTCTTCTCAGGAGAGAAATTAATGACAAATGGCAAGTGTTTGGAGATGGGACTTGATGGGCAGAGTGCCACAGAAATAGCATGCAGTGATTTCTGTTTGTTTATACCTACCTAGACTTGCAAGTCTGATGTCACAGGAGATATATGCAGTCCAACTTTCCAACACCTCTTGCTCACATTTTAATCCATATAGGAACTAGGAGTGGGAAAGAAAGGGCCCCCACAGTGCTCCCATCTTGGTCTAGGTGAGCCCAGGTGCTTCCTGGGACAAAGCTGGGGCTTCCATCACCAGACAAGCCATACCAGCTCCCTCCCAGAGTCTGAGGCAGAGGAACATGAGCCTTCAAGACATGAGGAAGTTCTGCTTCATCACTATTAATGATCAGAAAGAAAGGAAAAAGAGGTTCAAATGGACTTACAGGGTTTCTTAGAGGGGGATTTTTAAAGATCCCCAAGAAGTGCATGACCGTAGGAGTTGTGGAGAGGATGGTGTTGGGGTAAGTAGCACTGAGTAAATTCCGGGTATGTTCCATTGGGGAGGTCTGCTGTGCCCTTGCAAAAGGTGCCTCACCTCCCCGACCCATGTTTCCTGCTCAGCAAAACACAGCAGACTGAGGTACCAATTTACAGCTCCTTGAAGCTCTAAGATCTCCTGACTCTCGGTGATCTGAAAATGATTCCAGACAGCCCACTGAGGGCGGAAGTAAAGTCTTGGGGAAGCTCCATCCTATGATAACCCTTTAATCCTGATATACTTTTTGTCCCCTTTCATCTTCTATTCATTTTGGTGCAGTGGTAAAGGAACAAAACTGAAGCCGCCAAATGCAGAATTAACAGACCCACAAGTCCCTCCAACACTACCAGCACTTCTGGTGAAAGGGAGGGGGCCTCAGAGATGCTCAGGTCAGAGGTCCGCTCCTCCGGCCCGCCCACTACTCCAGGTCTCCTCTGGATGGAAACACGTCATCTTTCTCACTGTCTTTGAAACAGCGTCCCTGCCCCACCAGGCTCCCACGCAGACCCCTAAAGGTAGTGCTGCCCCCAGGAGCACCTTTACCTGGCCTCCCACAGCCTGCAGAGGCTCACAGCAGTCTCTGCTCTGTTACCCCCAGAAATTTAGGGTGAGCCTCTGAACGCCCAGCTTGGGGAGCCCTAGAGGAGGAACCTGGACACTTGGCACTGGGCTGATCTCAAACTTCTGGCCTCAGCTCAATGCCATAGAGAGCGCATCCTGAGCAGGAGAGACAGGAAAGGGTTTTTTTCTCTCTTTTCCAGAACTATCTTCTCCACTTTGGCAGCCACGGACCTCTTCATGCCTGGACAAAAGGCTCCACCTCTCCCTCCTCCAGCCTGGGACACAAGCCAGGTCTGGGAAGCCGCAGGGACAGGCGCTCTGTGCAAGGGCTGCTTGTCCGAGCTCTGGCACCGGTGCCCGGGACGCGTCTGCCCCGAGATTCTTGGCCAATCACTTACCCACAAAAGAGAGAGTCAAGATTTTGGCTGCTTCTGAGAGCAGGAGCCCAGGCACAAGGAAGCCCAGAAGAAGCAGCGCCCGCGGCCCCGCCATGCTCGCTCCCGTGCAGCACGGAGCCCAGTTCCGCGCTGCGCGCCCTGCTCCCAGCGCCCCGCGCCCTGCAAGGAACCTGAGCCCAGGGGACACACACGCGCTGCCAGAACAGGCAGGGCACTGGCTGCCAGAACAGGCAGAAGCTTGGGAAGAGGTGCATGCCGCCTGTCTTTGCCCTTTGTCCGCTCTTGCCCATCTGCTCCACCTCCCTGGGTGCGTGCTCCATTGGAAATTCTGTCCTCAGCGGGAAAATCGGGTCAGTGAGCGATCTTTAACCCCTCTCTGTCCATTAATCACTATATTCTCCGCATAGAAAAAATTAACCAAAGGGTAGGGACCTTAGGAAATCAAGTGGTTACCATCTCTGGAAGTGACTTGGACCCTCAGTTTTACGGTCCCTTTCCCAAAATTAATGGTGCTCCACGTCCTGTCTACCTGCTCTAACTACCTCATACGCATTCCCCCTGCCCCATTTCCTGGGCACCTGTTTAAATTCTCTGCCAGTATGCCAAGCTCAAGAGACACTGCTCCCTGTAAGCAGCTCTACTTCCTGGGACTAGTTTGTTTCTGGTCTCTAGAAGGAAATCCCCAAGGGAAATTGCCCAGTCACTCCTGGATAGCAAAGAGGTAATTTATTCAGAACGAGGTGCTAGAGGACTTCCTGACCCTGGAAGTCCAGGTCTTTACTTGGAGGACTGAATCTCTAAAGCTGAGACAGTAATTCTCAATGAGTATCATAAAACAGGACTGGGGATTTTTCCAGACTCTTCAGGCACAGCCAGGGACATCTTGTAATTCTGACCCCTCGTATTGTCAGCCCTGGAGGGACAGGGCATGAAACCCCAAAAGTCATCTTTGCATTTTCTATCCTCAAAACAAGACCAACTCTAGTAGAGGTTTTTCAGTGCAACTCTAAAGCAGGCAGAGAAAACACTTGTACCACTTGGATCCATAGAACTCCTAGAATAAAAAATAGGTGGTAAGCCTCTTGATATCTGTCTTGGCAATAATTTTTTCAATTTGATACCAAAGGAAAGGCAACAAAAGCTTTGGTAAACAAATGTAAACTACATCCAACTAAAAAAAATTAGCACAGCAAAGGGAACTATCAACAAAATGAAAAGGCAGCCTACTGAATGAGACTAAATAGCTGCAAGGCATATTTCTGTTCAACCGTTAATATCCAAAATATATAAAGTAACCATACAACTCAGTAGCAGAAAGAATAAACAATCTGATTAAAGAATGGGCAGAGGACCTGAATAGACATTTTTCAAAGTAGACATACAGATGGCCAACAGGTACATGAAAAGGTGGTCAGCTTCACTAATGATCAGGGCAATGTAAATCAAAACTTCAATGAGATAACACCTCATACCTATTAGAATCACTGTTAAAAATAGACAAGAAATAACAGGTATTGGTGAGGGGGTGGAAAACAAAGGATCACTTGTGCACTATTAGTGGGAATGTGAATTGGCTTGGCTGCTGTGGAAAGCAGTATGGAGGTTCAGTCCATGCCTTCACTGCAGCATTATTTACAACAGACAATATATGGAAACAATCTGAGTCCACTGATGGATGAATGGCTAAAGAAAATGGAATACACACACACACACACACACACACACACACACACACACACACACACACACACTGGAATTATTTTTTTGCCATTTGAAACAACTTCGATGAAACTCGAGGGTATGAGGTTGAGTGAAATAACTTAGGGAAAGACAAATACTGGATGATCTCACTTACATGTGGAATCAAACACAAAAGCAGGGCTCATAAATAAAGGGAACAGATTGGTGGTTGCCAGGATGAGAGGACAGAGGTGGGCAAAATGGGTGAAGGAGTTCAAAAGTAGAAACTTTGAGTTATATAGTAATTAGGCCCTGGGAATATAATGCACAGCATGGTGACTATAGTTAATATTACAGTATTGCATATTTGAATGTTTCCAAGAGAGGAGGTCTTACAGTTTTCATCCCAAGAAAACAAAAATTTCCATCTACATATGGTGACACATGTTAACCACACTTACCATAGTGATCATTTTGCAGTATGTGCTAATATCAAATCATTGTTATGCACATAAAACTAATATGTTATAATTCCATTATACCTTTAATTAAAAATAAAAACAAAAAACCTGGCAGAGAAAGCTTTCAATGGATTCCATGTCTACAGGATGATGTAGGTCCTTGGATTCTATTTGTACTGTTACTGCCTACAGGCCTTATTTTTCCATCTGAATTCAAAGCATTGCATCCTTACACATTTGTGGATCCTTCACCTAGCATGCCCATTGTGATGAAAGAGAGAGAGGTGGGCAGTACAAGCCTTATATTATTCTTGGACCTCTCATAATTCATTAGCAAAATAAAGGAATTTTTATCTAACTCCAAACTTATTCATTTCTTCTACAATAATATTGAAAGTTAATTATATTTCAGGTAGTATCCTGGATAGACAGATGTTAAACATGGGAATAAGCAAACTATTAGCATGTTACTGGCAAATGCTATTAAGAATAATTAAACAGGGAAGGAGACATGAGGGGTCAGGTATCAGGAGTGCTAAAATTATAGATGGCATGACACAAAGGAACTCTAAATTTATGAATAGCTGAGAAATAGAATCACAGTATTTAATGATATTAGTTACTATTGATTTAGAGAAGTGTTACAATATTATTGAAGTTATTTAAAAAGAGATATCCTTTTAAGATACACTCTGAAACATTTAAAAGAAAGTGTTTTGATGTCTGGGAATTGTTTCAAAATAATTTGGGAGTGTGGTGGAGGATGGAGGTGAGGTGGAAAGTGGGTGGGAATATAAAGGAAAGAAAATTGGCCAGAAGTTAGTTATCACTGAAGCCATGTGCTGGGCATGGGTAGGTTTTACTTTTATGAATGTTAGAAAGTTTACATTAAAAAGATTTTTAAACTCTCCCACTATGACTCTATTCTTTTTCTAATTTTTCTTGTTATTTCAGTTTTTCCTGTAGACACTTTGAGACCACATCATTAGATGCATGCACATTTACAATTATAGTGTGAGGTACCATACCTTCCCAGTGAAACAATTCACATTAGTTACATTAGTAAGAAATTTGTCTTCAGTAACACTTCTCACCTAAAGTCTATAGTGTCTGATATTCCTACCTACTCAGATTTCTTTTCCACTAATATGTCATAACCTGTCCTTTTCTATTTGTGTTATTTTATATGTAACTGTCCTGTACCGTATTTTAGATGTGTCCCTTGAAACAGCAATCAGCTCAACACTTATTATCATGTCTGTTGAATCTTTACAAGTATTGAATAGATAAGGCCTTAAAGAGAAAAAAGATGCTTGGTCAATTCCTTTCCTAAGAGCTAAATTTCCATAATTTTTATTGCTTCCTGGTTTCTGTATTTCCAAATCATTTTGAGTCCAGTCAATGGAATCATTTCCCACAACCTCAATATGCTGTTTCACATTTAACCAAAAGGAAATTGTCAGACAAGCAAAATGTTCTAAATTTGTTAATTTTGAGTGAGGATGAAACATGTCAAATATATGAGTCTATACAGAGATTGTACATGTATTTTTAATTGAATTTATTTAATCATGGAAAGGGTCACTATTTCATTCATGTTCCCATTCATCACACATGATACAGATATCCAGTCATCCAGAGAGACAGATACAGACCTTTAAGGACACGCAGAGTCCTATAGCGAATGATCTACAACTGCAGACTCGTTAATGTATAGCTTTTGTGTTTGGCGATGGGCTGAGGGATTTGTAATATCCAGCCTTCTGGATTCCTGTTGTCCTACTGGATCCCACACTTTCTCCGGCTGCCTTTCTGTTGTTCATCACCCATTATCCAGAGTGCTCCCCCTTCCCATCTACCCTCCTCTCGCTCAGACACAGAGCCTTTTCCAAGGTGGATGCTGTGGGTCCCTCATGCTTTTGTGTCCCTTTCCCTTGGTCAAAGCTTTGCTCTGCCAGGACTCTTGCTCGGGATTTCCATATGGGATGCAGATTTTCTCTTTCTGGGTATAGTTCTGCCCATCCAAGGGCCTTCTGTCCCCTTTTCCTCTTGTCTGCACTGTTTTTCTGGACTCACTAGCTCTCCACAAAGCTTTGTAATAGGAGCTCAGGAAAAAAACTGCTATATTAGATGTTGAGTTTTCCCTATATGGGAAAGTGTTAGTTTTATTTGTTCTTCTTATTGATCTTACCATGTGAGCAGCATGGAGTTACAGTGTGGTTTGTGGATATTAGATATCCTAAAGTCTTCATTCTCCATGTGGGGACATTTTGATGCTGATACCCTCTAATTATTACCCCAAAGTCTTTGGCACAGAAGATCTCAGAGCCATGCTGATTGAAAGGAGAATCCATGTGTAAATCACATTTTCTACAGACTTGGAAATAGGGGCACTTTAACCTTCTTATAGCACCAAAGGCTCAGTGCCCACTGGTCTAGACAGTAGTCCCATGAGGGACAGCACAGAGGCCTCCCCGTACTGTCCTGGGATCGACAGCCACAATCCCGCTCCCCATTCTCACCTGCACAGGATTCGAGGGCTGGGGCTCTGTGACAAACATCATCACCTTCTTTCCCTGCCGGTATGTTCCCTTCACACTAGGAAACCCATTGAGGCCAAGTCTGTGCCAGGGGCTGCCTCAGGCCCAGCCAGAGACTCAAACCAAGAGACTAAAGTTTTCTTTTTTAGTATGTCCAGGACCACTTGCTGATTTGCTACATAGGCCAGGACAAAATCACAGGAAATAGCAAGAAATTCTGCTTTCATGGGTCAAGCATTGCGGAGGGATTCACGGCTCTTCATCATGTATCAGACACTACAGATCAGCTGACCCAACGCCCACTCCCAGCTCTCTGAGTCCTTACCAGCGGCAATGCAGAGACATTCCCAGCTTCCCTACAACCATTAGTGGCCAGATTCTGGGCATGAGGACAGAAGTCTCTTGGCCAGGGAAAGGGTGGAGATAACAGTGTGAAAACTTACTTTCTTTGTCAAAGGGATACATGTAGCTTCCCGAGCTTTGAGGAGAGTGGGCAGAGAAGCAGAACAGAGAAGTATTAGCAAAGTGCCTGTCTTAGGAGTCATTCCAGGACAAAGCGTGGAGGCAGGATGACGGAAAGAGGCTGAGAAGATCCTGGCCATGGAGGCTGGGATGTTCAGGCTCAGGGCCTCCCAGAGGGCCATGCCAGGGAAGGTGGGCTTCCAGGCTTTAGCTCTCAGGGACACTGGTCCAAATGACTCGAGGGCTGAGTCACACAATAGTCCTTGTTAACTGGAAAATAAAAAACTCCACAAGTGCTGAATAAAGAATTTCAAAGCCAGCAGGCAGGGATTTGTAGCAAAAAGAGCAAACGGCTATGATGTGGAGAACAAGGGTGGCCAGAACAGGAGGGAGGTTCATGAGAAATGGTGAGCCACATATGGCCTCAGGCCTCCTTCAGCTTCCTGGCCCCACACAGCCACCTGGCCACCATGCCCAGCAGCTTCCCACAGAGCCACGCGGCGACCAGGGTGACCAGCAGCAGGAACAAGAAGACGTCTAGCAGGTACTGCTCATGCCACGGCTGCTGCAAGGCGTAGGGCTTGAGGTGTGCTGCACCCCATCTGGAGGATGTGGTCGATCCAGCCCACCAGACCCTGGGTGGGGGTCAGCAGGTAGGAGCGCCTGATGATGCTGGCGGCCACCGCTGCTGACTTGTACCTGTTGTCAGAGAAAGAACGTTCGGGGCAACATTAGATGGAAAGTTCTCAGCTGCTTAGTCTGGATACAGAAGGCTGGTTTTTAGGCAATTATAACCTCTCCGTGAAATTTGTCACAGGTACTTAAAAACAGTGAATTTTATAAAGATTCTTCTATGCACAGAATCCAAATTAATG